GTTAGCACCACCACCACTTCAAAATCTCTACTGGCCAATAGATCAATGATATTGACTTTAGAGATTGTGGTGATGTTATAGTGTGTCAGCATAACCAAGCTTGAGCCATGTTTCCCAGAATTCCCTTCTCTATATGGCTCCAGGTTAGGGTTGACTACAAGTGAAATTTCCATGAGAATCTGAAGTGGAAGTGGAGCAGCAACGTAGGTATACCCTGAAAGTGCAGGTGCCAGGCACCACTGTAACCCATGCATTCCAGCACTGATATGCTGGCTCACCTTCCACGTGTAGGTAGAAGCCAAGCCTATGGCTCCCTTGGCTTCCCTTAGTGCGAAGGGCACAGTTTCTTCTGCAGGTTGTCTACCATTGAGGTATGAGGTGGTGAGAGGCAGACATGGCCTCCAGTTTATCCTGGTTGATTTTAGTTTGTTCTTGCTCTTCCCTACTTCATGAAATATATCTCTATCTGACTGCTGCCACATTGATGTGAAATGACCTCAGGCCCGCCACACAGCAGAGAGGCAGCAGCCTTCCACAGATTTTGTCACTAGATCTCAAATATGTATGGTCTACTTTAGAAATCCATAGCCCATATCATTTGTTCCATATTACTCTGCTTCCATGATCTATCCCTAACTAATACAAGGAATTAAGGGTATAGTCCTTAAAATGTAGATACCATTGAGAGGAATAACTCCATTGAGCTGGTATTGGCCATTTGTAATTTAATGTGAGATACTCCATTGGCTTCATTTCTAAATCATTACTTGAGTAGTATCTAATGCACCCAGGAATACAAAGTCCTGGGTATTGGATAACAGCCAACTGAGCATAAGGCAGAGGGTATGGTGGAAAACAAGGTACAGGGAATGTGAGGCATGCCCTGGTCATACATATAGTTCTGGTTTTATTGCAGAGGGTACATGTAATAGAATTTTCTCTCAGGGTAATAGATGCGCCGAGGGGAAAGAAAGTTAGTCATAGAACACGAAGGACGTTGACTTCAGTCTTCTGCATAATCATCTGTCCTCGCACTACAAGCGATGCTGTGGGGCAGAGAGGCAGCACCTGTATGCTGATAGCGACCCCGGTGGGGAGGAGAGAAGTTTATACCCAGGTCATAGCACTGCCTCTGAGCCCTCACTCCCATCCAAATACTATTCTTTCTCAAGCCCACTTAATGCCAGAAAAATTAAATCTCCCTCTTTGTCCTTGAGGATGGCAATAATTCAGTTTGCTTCTTACTATTAAAAGATTTGCTGAGGCTGGGGAGTTGAGTATGAATGCAAGTTGGAGAAACAAAGCTTAATTCTGCTTTCTGAAGGAATCTACTTTGCTTATTTAATTTTAAATTTTAGGTGTGTTTATTCAATGTATAATTGCTGTAGAAAAATCACATAAACTATATAAGTAAAAAGAACATCAAAAATCACCTGTAATCCCACAACCTGGAGGTGACCCTTATTACCACTGAAGTGTAGAAACACAATTCTAAAAAGTCAGTGTGAGGACATAGAAAATAAATTGATTGGAAGCCAGAATCTGGATTCTAGTCCCAGTTCTCTTGTGATTTACTGAATGTCATATCACTATGTAAAAAAAAGTGAGTGT